GTGTCAAAGGCCTTACTGAAGTCCAGGTAGACCACATCCACAGCCTTTTCCTCATCCGCTAGGTGGGTTACCTGGTCATAGAAGGAGATCAGGTTGGTCAAGCAGGACCTGCCTCTCATGAACCCATGCTGGCTGGGCCTGATCCCCTGGTTGTCCCGTTCATGCCTTGTGAGCATCCTCAAGATGACCTGCTCCATAATCTTCCCCGGCACCGAGGTCAGGCTGACAGGCCTGTAGTTCCCCGGATCCTCCTTCCGGCCCTTCTTGTAGATGGGCGTCACACTGGCAAGCCTCCAGTCATCCAGGACCTCCCCTGTTAACCAGGACTGCTGATAAAACATCCTAATTCTTAAATGATGGCTTGGGCATGTCATGCAGTAAGTGTTTGAATCTCCTCATAAAAGGGATTTGGAAGGCTTTTGCTGCAGAAATTGGCTTTGCTCCATAGAAATCACTGATGCAACTTCTAAAAGCACTGCTGCAGATCAGAGTTTGGGTTAGTCTCCAAATATCAAGTGAACTCTTACATACCTTACTTTCTTACTCTTTTGCACCCAATATTACATTCAGCCCATGTAACTCATTTTGAAACACTAGCATCTATATATTTATAATATGTTTGTTACTTAGAGTCTCGAGATTAGTTTGTACCTATCGTACTACCTTGTAACAGAAAGGTGGGGTTTTGGGTTTTTTTGCTTTATTTTCTGTCTGACAGGGCCAAATCATGTTGGCTGTCTTGAGTTACTAGCAGATTTGAGTTCTGTTGTGGTTATAGAATTGTGGAATCATAATGTAAGTTGGAAGAGACCTCCTTCTAGTCCAACATCCTGCTTAAAATATTGAAGTGTAATGAGATCGGGTTGCTCAGGGCCATGTCCAGTTGAGTCTTGAACATCTGCGAGGATGGTGATTCCACAACTTTTCTGGGCAAACTATTCCAGTATTTAACCATCTTCACGGTAAACTTTTTTTCCTAATATCTAATTGGAATTTCACATGTTCCAACTTGTGTCCATTGCCTCTCTTCCCATCACCATGCATCTCCGAGAAGAGATCCATCTTCTCTGTATCCTTTTGTCATGTATACAGAGGAATAAAGTCTCCCCTGAGCCTTCTCTTCAAGCTGAAGAGGCATAGTTCTTTCAGCCTGTCCTTATATGTCATGTTCTCCAACCCCCTGACTGTCTTGGTGGCCATCCACTGGACTTGCTCCAATCTGTCATTATTCTTCGTGTACTGGATACAGACTCCAGAAGCAGTCTTACTGGCACTGGAAGGGGACAAAGGATCACTTCCCTGGATCTGCTAGCTATCCCTCTGCCAATCTGCCAGGATACAGTTGGTCATCTTTGCTGCAAGGGTACTCTGCTCACTAACGTTCAACTTGTCCACTAGGACCCCCAGATCCTTTTCCATGGAGCTGCTTCCTAGACAGTTGCCCCCAGCCTGTACTGTTGCATTGGGTTACTCCATCCCAGATGCATGACTTTGTTCTTGCTCTTGTTGAAAAGGTTCCAGTCAGCCCATTACTTCAGCCTGTCCAGATCCCTCTGACTAGCAGTTCTACTTTCCAGCACATTGACCATTTCCCCCCAGTTTGGTGTCACCCGCAAGCTTGCTGAAAGTGTACTCCATCCCATCATCCAGATCACTAATGAGGACATCAATCAGTATTGGACCCTGTACTGATTTCAGAAAGACCCCACTAGTTACAGGCAGTCAGCTGGGCTTTGCACCACTGATCACTCTGAGCCTGGCAGCCCAGCCAGTTTTCCACCCATTTTATCATCCACTTACCCAGCCCATATCTCACCACTTTGGTGAGAGAAAAGGCTATGGGAGACAGTATCAAAGGCCTTGTTAAAGTCAAGGTATACGAGATCCACTGCCCTCTCCTTGTCTGCAGTGCCAGTCACCTCTTTCTAGAAAGCAGAGAAGTAGGTCAGGCATGATTTGCCCATGGTAAACCCTGCTTTCCATCACCTTGTCTTTCATGCATTTAAAAATGGCTTTTAAGAGGTTTTGCTTCATAACCTTCACAGAGACTGATGTGAAGCTGACTGTCCTGTAGTTATCTGGATCCTTCTTCTTGCTCTTCTTGATGATGGGTGTGCTGTCTGCCTCTTTCCAGTCATCAGGAACCTTCTCTGATCACCATGACTTTTCGAAGATGATAGAGAATAGCCTTGCGATGGTACTAGTGAGTTCCTTCAAAATGCTTGGATCCATTCCAAGGACTTGTGTGTGTCCAGTGGATTAAATGATCCCTAACATTTTCTTCCTCTATTCTGGGTACTGCTTTACTCCCACAGAGTGCTAGGGGGCTCAGTGACATCTGAGGCCCGAGGACAAGCCTTATCAGTAAAAACTGAAGCAAGAAAGGCATTGAAGAATGGGTCTGTTGATTTTCCTACTCTAAGAAAGAAAATAAATGTGAATGTAATTTCTTAATATTTTAAATGCACACTGCTGCTCTTTCCTGAATTGTCAACTGCTGTATTTGTTGCTGCCTGACACCTAACCAATGTAGAAGCTTTTATTTTTCTGATTAACAACTATCAGATTGCAAGGCTGGATAAAGATAAAGAAGAACTCCATAATCAGCTGCTTAGTGTTGATCCCACGAGGGACAGTAAACGCGTGGAGGCACTCTGTAGAGAAAAGGCACAACTGTATCAGAAATTAAAAGGCTTAGAAGCAGAAGTAGCAGAACTAAGAGCAGAAAGAGACAATTGTGGTGTGCAAGCAGAAAATGTTCAAAGAGTACAAGTACGACAGTTAGCTGAGATGCAGGCTATGACAAGGTCTCTAGAGGTAAGATTTTTTTTTATTTTTTTTATTTTTTTTATTTTTTTTATTTTTTTTATTTTTTTTATTTTTTTTATTTTTTTTATTTTTTTTATTTTTTTTATTTTTTTTATTTTTTTTATTTTTTTTATTTTTTTTATTTTTTTTATTTTTTTTATTTTTTTTATTTTTTTTATTTTTTTTATTTTTTTTATTTTTTTTATTTTTTTTATTTTTTTTATTTTTTTTATTTTTTTTATTTTTTTTATTTTGTTTTTTTAAATTTTGCCTCCTTGTAGAGTGTAGTGAGAATAACGCTTGGCCTGATAGAACTGTCACTGAAGTCACTGATAATTTTGCCAATGACTCCACAATTTGAACTTGTACATTTCAGATTTAAAAACAAATTGTAAGGACATTGTGAGTACTGCCAATTCAACTTTGGAAAGGTGGAGAGCTCAACTGAGAGATTGTGTTGAATGGTCTCCTTTCTAAACATGCGAGTGCTATCCATCTTTGCAGTCAGTAAGATGCTCATGTCAGCACTTGTCACTTGGCTAGAGTTAGAAACTGATGACAATATGTTAATAATCTGCTACAGTAAATTTTTTATTCTTTTCAGAAATGTCATATGATGCTCCGCTATTTCTTTAATCCTTTCCTTGTGTGTCGTCTTCTTTCTTGCCTACCTGTGTCTCTCCTTTCTCCAACACATTACTGCAATTGTTTAGTTCTTGGCTGTTGCTCTCCCTTAAAGAACCTTTGGCATTTCTGGCCTGTTGCATGTTTCCCAGGGTTCCACTGTATTCCTCATCTGTGGTCTTCAGTTCTCCTGTCAGTTCTTGCTGTCTCTCTAGGTAGTGAGTCTTTCCATGTAGATTTCTTGCACAGTTGCAGCATACAGATAGATGGTTCATTTTCCTTTTTACTGTTATCAGTGCTGTATACCTTTGTTACAAAATGCTCTGATCACAACTTAAAAAGAAAAGTGCTGTAATATTCCTAATTTAGAAAACTTAAAAAAAAGTCCTGCTGGAAATAGGTCAGTTTGAAAAAAGGAAGGTGAAATCGTAGGTTAGATTACCTTTTTGATACTTAGTAAAGCTCAGGGTCTTGAGTCTATAATACTCACAGTAACTGCATATTATTTCCTCTCCGTGATGTCAATTCTTCAGTTAGTATAACTGCATAGGCCAACATATGACATCTTTTTCAGCGCCACTTATAGTCATACTGGTGTTTACAGCCCAGTAATTTACTGGTAGGAATACCTGCTGCCTCCTAACCGAGTCAGATTACCTCTGCCTCTTGTGAAGTAGGATTGAAAATGTGTGTGATTCTGTGCAGGCAGTGTTAGTAAAAACAGTTGTGACTTTTGAATAAAATGCAAGACCATTGTTTTATTGGAACATATTGTTGAGCAAAGATAAATATTTATATATTATATTATTATATAATATAAAGGGTCAGATATATCTGAAAGCCCAGGTCAATTGAACCTTTCAAGTGAATAGCAAGAGACAGCCCTGCTCCAAATCTTACAAGAAATATCTGAAAGCCCAGGTCAATTGAACCTTTCAAGTGAATAGCAAGAGACAGCCCTGCTCCAAAAATCTTACAAATACCTCCTTTATTCAAGGCAGAAAAGAAGTCTGCTGAACTACAGATTGATCGAATTGAGAAAGAACTACGGATGAGTCATGAGCAAAACATTCTCTTAACTGGTAAACTTCACAAATCTGAACGAGAAGTCAATTCCTTAGCTGCTAAAGTAAGTGCTTTTATGGTATCTGAAATACATTTTTCATATCCTGTTATGTTTAAGTTTTTCTGCTTATATTTTACATTAAGAGTAAAATAACAATGTCTTCTGCTGTGACTTAAAATAGGTTTGGAATTTTTTTCCCCCCAGTTTCAGTTGAAAGATACAGAATAAATTACCTTACAGGAAAAACGTCATCCCTAAAAGTATCTCTAAAGATTGAGGTTGTGCTCTTTTTATTTAATTTTCTAGATCTTTTTTCTAAACAGAACAGGGCTCGAAGAGGTGTCTTTATATTCATGTTTTTAGTACTCATGAAAACAGCCAGCCTTATTTGATGGAAACAAGCATTACTTTTTAATAGTGTGTAAAGTGCAATGGAGCTTTAAATTGATTTTTTTCTTTTTTTTTTTTTTTAAATGCAGCTGTGGCTTCTGGAGGTCTTACAAAGTATCCTCTTGAATGGGCTATGTTAGCTACAGGAAGCAAGCTGCATTGGAATCACTTGTGGAGATTTAGGTTATATTAGAAGCAGGATAGTCACATTAGCATAGCATTCTTCTTGGGCTAATGCCAACATAGCTTGTACAAAAACATTTCTGTACGGGACGACATCATATCATTTTAAGTAGATCATCGTCTTGCAACATGTTTGAGTATCTTAGTTGTTGGGTTGGCACCAGATCTTAGAAGTTTCGTGCTATGTTTGTATGCTTTTTTTTTTTTTTTGAGATCTTAGAGAAATTTCTAGAAAAATACTTAAGAAAAAAAAGATCAGAAGGTTTCTAGTTTAGGGAAAACCTGAAAGTGCTTAAGAAACTTGACGTCACTGTTTAGTATTTCAGCATAATTGGAGTAGTATGGATGCCAGATTCAGAGTTTTATCTGGTTGCAGTGACTCCTCAGCTACACAACTAAAAGAAGACAGATCCTTTATGCAATTCCATATGTGATTATTTCAATAAACAAGAAAAATTGAAACACTAGTAAATGGTTTTACCTTCAAATGTTGCAGAATTTACATTGCTTTATTTACATTGCTTTATGTAAATTTGAGTCAGGATACTAGTCCTAATGAAATAGTTACTTGGGTAAATATTAGCTTTCTGCTGTTTCTTATTCCCTCCTTTCTGGAGAGAATACTGGGTAATAAATTTTTATCACATCTGTCAGTTCCTAGTAGCAAATTTAATCCCCTGTGTTTTCTTACCTTTCTGGAGAGGCTTTAGTTAGTTCTGAACCAACTGCAAAGCCAGTAACTTTGGTCTTGTATATCTAGCTGAATGCAGAATTATTGTAAGCTCTCTGTTGTCTTAAAGCTATCCTGCATTTCTGAATATACTTTCCAAAATAACACTGACATGCGCTTTGTATGGGTACAGCAGTTAATATTGTCATAATATGCCTCAAGAAAGATACAATACAGGAAGAAAACTTTGCCTTCTACCATAGTTGTTCTTTAACAATCTCAGATTTCATTCAAAACAGGCTTTACATGCACAATTGTGAGTGTGAAGTATTTCATTTTGGTCCTTAATCCAAGAAAGTTCTAATTCACCATAAGAATAGTATATACCTATACCAGTATTTAAAACCTCTTTATACAATGTGTCATACTTGTCTCACATGAATAATAAATAAGAGGGGAAAGCTTCTGTTAAAACATTCTTTAACCAATGGTCGATCAGAATATATAGAAGATTGTTACAGTCTTTACTTTTTGTATCAACTGGTGTTCTCCGCTCACCTCCAGAAGTAGGAGAAAATTAAAATGTTCAGTGGTGTTTCTTGAAGGGCAGAAAGTAGACACTAATTTCTATACTAACCTCCACCCCCTTCTGCACCCACTCAAACTCACTCCTGAGCACGGGTGCATGCATTTGTCTTCCGGATTTTGTGCCTTAAAAAAGCCACCTTAAATCTTTGCAAGTTGCCCTGAAATGTTCTCAACTTAGTATTTAAGCAACCAAATCCACCGCGTAGTTACTTAATAAGCTACTATGTCATTCTTAACCTTTTGCCACTTGTGTATGCTAGCAGGTTGTAATTACGTTTGTCATTGTGAATGGATTTTCATTATAAGTGCTTTCCTCTAGATATTTAATTCTCATTGACCATGCAATTACTGCGTACAAATGCCTAAACTATAGAAAGTTGCCATGCAAGCAGTAATTGTCTTTGATTTGATGTTCTTAAAGCTCCTGCTTTTATGAGGCCATTTGATGTGGATGTCACAGTTGTAGAGAAGTATTTGATTTAAAATGCACTTCAAAACTATGAAGACCTGGATTTTGAGAAAGTAGTGTAGCACTCCAGGAGGTCAGGGGGACTATAAGTAGCTACCAAATTGAAATTACTTGGGGCAGCAATTGATAATGTGGTTTTGCTTATCACTGTTTTGTTTTACTTAGGGAGATTATTTTAGCTTGACTCTGAGGGATCTGTAGTCAGAAGTGAAGTATGTGTAAACTGACATGCTAATGCTTGAGTTAGTGAGGCATCAGGGTCTTAGGCAATTTGGATCAGTGTCATAGCGAGATATTTCCAATGAGTAGTCTTTTCAGAAATACCCCCAAATTCGGAGGCTAGCTTGTAGAATGTGTAGTATTTACTCAGAAACCACGTTTTCACCGGCAATCCTGCGCATCTGTGCATGTATCACCAAGGCTTCTTAAAAGAGTAACTTTTCTACATTGTAGCTTGTAATAACTGGCTGGTTAAAGATGAAAAACATGTCAATAGTCAGACAGCCTGGTTCCTGGAATATATGTCGTGTTTGAGCACTTTAATTTTTTTAATCAGGGAATATATAAAACTTGCATGTCAAGATGACTGACAATTCATTCAATAATCTTCAGTGTGTGACTTGAGGAATTAATAAAAACCTGTAATAGGACTGATTACGATTTGCGGAATCAGATCATGTCAATAGCTTTAGTGTTACAGTATCTATATAATCACCATTAAAAATTATCTAAGAGTGGATATTCTGCATTGGCTTCAGGAAAGCAGTGGATGAAAAAAAATATTTGTCATGTGTAAAATAAGTGTAGTCCACGATTATTTGGCAGATTTTCATGTTAGCAAAGTATCACATGAAAAACTTACAGTAAAGCTGCAAATATATTTATTTTAGTTGATTTGTTTTTTTTTTAATTCACAGGTAGAAGAACTTAAACATTCACATAAATTGGAAATAACAAATGTCAAACTGGAGGCAGCAAGAACAAAGAGTGAGGTAGAAAGAGAGAGAAACAAGATTCAAAGTGAAATGGATGGTAAAATGTGCAATTAATTTCTAATGATTTCTTTTGTAACTTCTAGTAAGAATACTACAATTATTTTTCCTCCAAACATTCCCCAGCAGCCTTCACCTTCTACTACTGGTCTAGGTCATAGATCTGACAATTCATTTTGTATCTGAAATAACTGTGTTGTTTCACTTAGTCTACTAGGTTAAGAAGAACAGGTACAGAACAATTTTGCATTTATGGAAATTAGTGAATTTGTGACACAATTTGAGCATAATCTGTTTCAAATCATGTACTTCATATGGTTATTTTTTCTATTATTGCCGAATTCTAGAGTCTTTCACACTCTGCTTGAAACCTTAACGTACCATAGGGCTTCAGTGGTTGTTTTGTTTTCTGATTCTGTGTCCGTGGAATTGTTAACAGATGGGTAAGGCTGCCGGGTGAAACAAAATACAATTTCTAGCTCGTTCTTCGAAGAAAATAGGCAATGCTCTAAGCTGAGTATGTAGGCAACTTGAAATAGCTTTCTAGAGTGAAAAGGTCAAAGCTTTCTAGTACTAGTTATGTGTTGATGATTTAAATCACTACACAGCTTTTAAGTGGACTGTCCTCACCGATTTGTCATAACCCCAAAACAGTACTTTCGCCTTCCTGGAATAGTTGTTTCTGTTCACTTGCTTTAATATTAAGTTCTCAAAGAGCACCTAAAAAGTGGTGTTTCCTGTATTGACAATGCACTTACAGTATATTGTGAACTAAAAATGTTGAACCCTATGAAATATGAAACTAAATACAGGCAAGATTTAAGCTAACTTGAACTTGCTGCAGAATCCAGTTTGCATCACTGAATTAGCTAAATAACCAGGAATCACTGTTGTAGCATGGTGGCTTATTTGCCAGTGAACACGGGTGTCTTGGTCACAAGTTTTTAATTTGCATCTTTTGTCCTTGCCTATAGAGTCATAATTTTAGAATTGCCTTATTTGGTAATAAGAGTGGATAAAAATGTGAGATTTGTTGTAGCCAGGTTACTATGGTTTCACTGGTAACCAGTTACTGTTTACCATAAACTTCTCCATAAAAAGAAAATAACAAATTTTCTCGCTTGACCTTTTTGTAGCTAT